CGCTGCTCCCCTCAGCAGTGTACTTCGTCCATCTGCCTGTTCTGCTCCCCCCTCTGTCTCTGGTGAATCCTCTCGCCCTCCGCATCTCTGGCCTGTACCCCAGTTCTATATGAATAAATAAATCTTTAAAAAAAAATTGAGTTTGCTAACATTGAATAGTTTTACTTTTGTGTTTTAATTTTGCTTGTTAGTGTGCTAAATAAGCCACCCAAGTAATAATGATATAGCAGGGACACCTTCTCAGTTTAGAGCTGATGTCTTGGCTCCTCCCTAAGCTAAGGTAGAAAGTTGTAGCGTTAATTGATTTAATGGAATATGTGCTGTGTGTTCACATTATAATTTTTGTTCATTGTTTCTTCCTAAAGATTAGAATGTAATTGTCAAACAGTATCACAAATCACAAAACATCAGTCTCATTATTATTACAGCTTTTTTTGATGCTACAAAAGCAACAAAGAATTGGGGGAGTGTGCTGAAGAGAGATCTTGATTTTATATAAATGTATTTTATATTCTCAATTCACAGAAGAATGTAGCTTATCTCTAGCTGAGACTAATTGTTCCTCTTTGAGACTAGTAGGAAAAACTCTCTACTTATCATTTGTTGCAGTTTAGTTATTCCAGTGCTTTGCCTGTCTTGGATTTATGATTGATCTCCCACATATAAATCTAAAAGACCTGAACTAACTTCAAGAAGTTCTCACTAAAACAATTAAATATTTGATCCTGCCTTGAGCCATTTCTATCTTGCAGTATCACCAGTAAAAATCACTTATTGCATGTAGCATTTCAAGTCTGTGAGGCTTATGGTAAGTTCATCTTAGCTCAGAAATCCATAGATCAGCAGTGTAAATATCCACATGTCACTTCTCACACCAGCTTTCATGAATAAGACATAAACTCTCAAGAAACCATGGTTTTTCTAATGAATTGGAGTCACCTATGTCTACTGCATTTATGACATGCACATTTACAGTTGGGGTCCACGGGAAGGACACCATTTCCTGGATAAAGCCACAGAGGGCAAATATTGTGCCCTAAATAACACTCTAGTTACTGTAAATGTCAGTAGAGGGAGTTTTTTCAACTTTGATTTAATGAAAGCCTACAGCAGAGCAAGCTGTTAGCACTTCTTAACGGCTTGTCAGAGTGAAGAGGGGAGATGAGGAGGGTGGAAAACATTTTTTCTGTAGACTTTTGTCTTAAAATTAAGTTTCAACAGGTGTTGACTAGTGACTTTACAGTTCCTTTACAGCTTGATGTCCTTTAGATGGTGAATTTGTAAGTTCCCTTCAAGGACATCAACCTGTAGTTTCATGGGATTCATGCAAAATTAGTTTGGTGTTTGCATCTTAAATCCGCTCACCTGAAAAATAAGCATATTAGATTTCTGGGCCCCCTATGAGGAAAATAAGATAAAGGAGAGGGGAGACAGGCAAACAAGCGTACTTGCGTTGTCGCTGAGGGCACAACCCAAGTAACTAGAAGCCATGTGCATGTTAATGGATGTCATCTGTTTTTTCTGAATATAGAAATCACTTGAAGCAAACACAGAGGAAAGTATATGGCACTTACTTCTCTAATTTTTTGTCATTTCTCATATGCATGAGTAAACATGTGATTTTGAAGGTTCTTACCACCCTTGGAAATCTCTCAACATTAGGCTGTGAGGAGGAAAGGGAGATAATCTTTCAAACACAGGGCAAGTTTACAGTCTCATTATCTTGAAGAGGAGAAGAAAGTTTCTTCCTAAATGATTTATAACTTGAAACATGTTGTCATGTTTTTGGTAGGCCTATTTTATTAATTCCATCGTTCTCTATGGCAAATTTCTAAAAAAAAGTAAATGTACCATTGCAGCAAAGTGCTTTCTCAATAGCATATTGTACTTATAATAGCATGATGGTAGATGTTTAGCCATATTGAACTTGGAGCCAAGCTCGTAGGAAAGCCTCTAATTGAATTATTTGCTAAGCACTGACAGACAGGATTTCAGGACAGACAAAGCTTTGCTTTCCCCTGCAGCAGCAGGTCGTGAGCAGTCAGCTCTGGAAGTTTGTCACTGGTTTTGAAGCTCTTTCACCATGGACTCTGGTGGAGCCTTCCCTACTAGAGACAAATCTGGGGAAGCAGGGGAGCTCCAGCCTTATTGTGTATTTTAGAGAAAATTGTTAACAGATCATGTTAAGTGCTTTGCTATAGATTACCAACATTCTTACATAATTCCTTTGTTATACTGAAAAGAGACATTGATAGGGAAAGGAAAACAGCTGTTTCGTCAGAGCCTATCCCAAGTCTGAAAGGTACTGTTCATGTTGACTTCTGGGAAGATTCGAATAAACCCCCATGTTCAGGAAGTTTTTTTGTAGAGCACTTGCATTTGAAATTAAAGAGTAATCAGATCTTGTTCTTTTCTTTCTCTTGCTCTCTATTTTTGTCTCATCCACAGCCTCTGCAATCCCAGATAACGGAAGAAGGTCCTGTCTAAAGCTCAAAGTCTTTGTAAGACCAACAAGTAAGTTCACAGAATGAGCATCAGAGGGTGGCTTCACCGCGCATGCTTTATTGTGTGGTCTGGTTCACAGCGGTAAAACTTTTTTTTTTTTTTTTTTACTGTTAAATCCTGTGTGGTATCTGTTTTGTATATCAACATCCATGTTTTAGTTTTCATCATATTTTTTCTCATCATTCATGATGCTTTTATTTGAAGTACACAGCAGTTGCTAACTTGTTGTTTCTTAGACTGTTGTATGTGCGTAGCCAATGGGAACAATATTGGCATTTGAATATATGCCACTGATTATAAACTAATCTCTAGAGAAATAAAAGGAAAAATAGAGAGAAAGAAAAAAGAAAGAAATGGGAGTTAAAGGGTGTCTTCACTAACATATTTGGCTGTTATCTCTATTTTTGTTATAGATAGCTGTATGAAAACTATAGGTGTTCATGATCGTGTTTTCGATGTTAACGACAAAGTAGAAAATTCATTAGAACCAGCAGGTTAGTATGCTTAGAGAATCTCTTTTAACAAATGCATCTCTCTCTGGTGCTTCAGTACTTTTTTTCCTTTCTTCCTTTCTGCATGGTGCATGGTATAGTTTCTGTGCTTTTTGCTCATTGCTAGCAATGCTAATATTACTTCTACCTCATTTTTCCAGTTTCTCTGTTTAATGCATGTTGGATAAAATATGACTTTTCTTTTTTTGGACATGGGTTGATATAATGCAATATCCTAATGTAGAAGCCCCATCAGAATGCTAAAATCTCACTACCTTTTACCATATCCTCAGAGCATGCTGGTGAGTCACTGTGAATATTCATGGATCTGTTTTCATAGAAGACAGAGGAAAACTCTGTTGTAAATGCTTATAAAGTATCAAGTCCAAATCTATGGATAAATTAAGAACTCCTGCACAAAATAACAACTAATTCAACATATTTTTCTCTGGAAATTCACATGCATCATTGAACTGATCTGAAGAACTTCATTTTATCTGAAATATTATTTGTGCTGTATGGTCAATGGCCATTGGTCTGGAGAAGAATAATTCTGTTACCTCCTAATCCCACAAATTCACACACCTGCTGCTTCCACACAGATATCAGTGGTCTGTTAAGCAAAATGTGACCTTTGATTACTGAGGCAAAATAAATAGTAAGGTATATTTTTCCTAGTACTAACTTCTACTCACTGTAAAGAAATCAAAATCCACACAATCTCTCACTGAAGCATTTACACTACAGTAAGCTACTCATTTAGTTACAAATGCAGTCTGGCTATTTAATGCAAGTGGATGATTGGGAGGGAGGAAGCCTCTGTGGTTGTTAGGGGTGGGAGGAACATCCCTCCACACCCCTGACACCTTCACAAGACTTCCTCTCCCCCCACACCCCAGTACCCCAATCCTGCCCCAGCACCACTCGCTTAAGATCTTCACTGGTTTCCTTTTCCATCTTCCTTGACCATCTTTCAGTTTAAGAAAAAAGTAATTTCCTCTTCACAGAAAGATGTGAGAATTTCATCTATAAATATATATATGTATATATATATTTACATATATGTATATATATATTTGCATTAGGACTTCGAGGTGCTAGAAATTGAAATATCTGAGATCCACTTTATGTTTTGAGTCTTGTTACGGAGACAACACTGTCCCTGAGCCTTAGAGAAACTTGGCTGAGGCTATCCGGTGCCCCAGGACATACAGTGACATACATTGTAACTACAGCAAGAGTTAGATTTTCCCCAGCTTTCTTGTTTTCTAAGGCAGACATCTTACCTAAGTACCTAAGTACAAATGAAGGCTCTCAGAAACCTTTGTGCTTCCCAGAAGATCCATTAGCCTCTTCAGAAAGGTAGAAGGAAGGAGTTCTGATGTGGGCCCATTGTAATTGTGTCCTGGAAATCTGGAAATATTATTGTGGCTTTTCTTGGCACCAGAGATCTCACAAGCTCGAGTATTTGCAAAATCCCAGTTAGATGGGATTTCTAGAAAGGGTCACAGAGTCCACACACTTCCTTGTATGCCAGAGACTTGTCCAGGACATAGCTTGAGCCAGAGTCAGATTTAATATTCTTATTTCTGGACACCCATTCCAAAGTTAGTAGGGATGTCTTATCTTGAGCAGATGTTAGTGATGTTCACAAAGAGAACTTCATCGTCTTGGCTTCTTCACTTTAGAGTCCTGTGTACAGGGACTGGCAGAAGAGCAAGGTGTGCTGGAAACATAAATGACCCCATGTTGTAATTTTGCAGAATCCATGCAGCATCTAGGTCTATCTCTCTAATTATCTTTCCCCATGTAAATTCCACTGCCTATGAAGCAAGCAAGAGGCTCTCTAGAAACAGAACAGGTTGCATGTTTTTCTCTGGTAATATAGGAACACACTGAGGATGATTCTATGAATTCAACTAGTAAGATACGAGACATTAAGATGCATTCTTTCATGAGTATATTTCACTTACTTTTAGGAAACTGGCTCATTTCCACTAAGCACTTAGTTTCCATGATAGCCAAAAACTTATGTACATGGAACTGATAGACTTGTGTTGAGGGGCTCCGAGTGTGTCTGGTGTTGGGGAGAGAACGTGTGGCTGCATGCGGAGGACAAACTCCTTGAGTCAGTTATGACTGAATTTCAGGGCTTTCTAAAGGTGGGCATATTCGCTACAGAAGTAAAACAAGGTTGAGCTACCATCCCTGTCAGGATGAATAGACTAAGAAATTTGACTTCATCTTATTCTTCAGAAAATTCAGACTTGTCTCTGAGTACCACTGCGTTCAGGGTTGAGTGAATGAATATTCACCTTTATCCAGGTCTGGGTACAAATACAGGCTTTATGAATCCAGCAAACCTGAAAGGATTCCACTGCATGTTCTCAACGATGTGTACTAATTCACCTGTCTTTGGAATGTATTTGTCTTTTTTATTTGCTTGCACACTCTGCCTGCCAGTTTCCTAGCATCAGGGATACAGGTTGATCTCAGGGCAGACATATGCCACATAATATGCTCCAAAATACAGCTAGTGATCTTTCAGTTAACCATTGAAGCCCCCATGTTGTGTAATCCTGTAGCCAGGAGGCAAGATTTGATTTGGCTTCGGAAGAGGAACATTTTCTCCTTCCAAGCCACAGTAACTGTAAAGGTGTTAGAAATTCTCTCAAGTTTCCATGTAATTTCCATTGGGATAGATTTTGCTTATAAATTTCTCCTTAGAATCTTGATATTGCTCAGATTTACCCAAATGACAGCCAGTTTTTCATTTTGCTTCTCGGAGACCATAGAATCTCTCGACACTGAAGACCTGTTTTAATCAAAGGCTGCTTTGTAGATGCCTGAGCCAGGAACAGCATGTTGCAGAGAGCAAAGAACTTGATGCCCTAATGGGTCAGATATTCTCCTTTGAGGGCAAGATGGTACTTACTGGTTTCACAGAAAAGACAAATGCCAGAGATCATGGGTGATTAGAGGGCTGAAAGGCACATTTAGCCTCATACTTCATGTAAGTGAAAAACAAAAGCTTTCCTCTCAGTGTCCTGCAGGGTCATTCACTGTGCTGCTGAGTGGGCCTGGAGCAATGGACAGCCCTTGTCAGCACCCTGAGGGGCAGGCCAGGGCGCTCACACAAGTACCTAAGTCTTTCTGGCTGCACACTTCCCAGCCTTACAGGGAAGAGGATTGGGTATTATGCTAGTAAAAATAAGATGGAGAAGAACACAATAGCGGTTGTAATTTCAGGTGAAAAAATATAAGTGGTATTTCAAAATGAACTCCGGAATCCTCAGTTTATGGTTCTCACACAGTTAAGCCTGGATTGCTCTGTTGTTCTGACTGACAACATATCGCTGCTCTTCAAAAAGTAATTTGGATTTTAATTCTAGGGCTATTAAGGGCATTTACTTCTACCTCCTGTTATCTATAGATTTAATACATTTGCAAGGCTGAAAAGAGAGGGGTAAAAAAAAAAAAGTGTCCACAAGTGTTTGACTACACTCTGCAGGTCTTTTCCTCTATAGCCGTTTAATTCCCCAATTTTGCTTCCTAACTTTTTCTAGTCTCCTAAGCTAAACCTGCCGCTCTATGCAGGTTTGCTAAGGTCCAGGAGAGGGGAGCAAATTTGACACAGGGATACAGCAGCTTCTGCACAAGGACAGACTGAAATAATGACAGCATTTCAGGGAAGAAGCCCAACATTTATATAGTTCACATTGGGAATGAATGTGAACGGAACTACTCTCCCGTGAGCAGAGCTGTGGCAGGACCCATTCTGTGAGCCTGAAAATTATCATTTTGGGGAAAAGTCAGGATTCCCTCACTATCCAAAAATAAAATTTCATAAGTTATTTTGGGAGTCTGGGAATGCTTAAAAAAAAAAAATTAAGTTAATAAGTAGCATTCCCAGGCCCCCAAAATAACCTACCAAATGGGGAGCTAAAGCAGCCTTATTGGAACATGTGTGGTGTGAACATTTGAGGCTAAAACTAGTTAATCCGTTAAGGGGTTCAGTCAAGTGTGGGGGGGCAGTCACTTGTGATGATTCCCTCTGCTTGACCATTGAGGGAATCCACCATCTCCAATTTCCTGTGAAAATTACACAGGAATTTCTGTAATGCTGAGTTTAAATCTATACAGAACCCCACAGTGGGCCCCCAAAAACATATAACTCAGAAATCATCTAGCCTAAAAACAAAGGCTAGGCCAGGTAACAGAAGAAGACAGAGGACACGAGTGTGGTGTGCCTGACAGGCAAGCCTCCGATCTGTCTTTCAGTACTAATTGCTGCAAAGCCCCTGTTTTGAAGTTAAGCCTGTTAATCAAGCAGATCAGCAAGGCTATCCAAAGTCAGAGGCAACCTCGTAGAACACTTTATAGCTAAATAAAAGAGGCTTAACTCACTTAATCCATTTTATTTAGAGGAAAATTTGCATCCAGTCTAATAATTTATGTGCCAAGCTTTGGCACAATAAAAATAAAAATAGTCAAGTTCAACTAATTTAATCCTGGAGATACAGGGTTTGAAATGGAAATATCACAACTGATTTCTAATCACAGGCAAACCAGTAAGCACTGGTTTATTGGGCATTATGTATAGCTTAGTTAAAATGTTGCTATTTTGGCATTTAATTTTTCATACTTGAAAATTCATCTAGCCAACCAACAGCTGGGCATTCAACACAACTCCTATGAAACCCCTAAAAATGAGGAAAGTGAGCAGCCCATTCTGGTTAACCACTAATATGCCAAAGCAACTACCTCATCCCACCCCTCCTAACCATGTTATTTACCCAAAGTGGGTGACTGGCTTCTCCAGTGACGTCTTGGCTTTAAATTTTATATTCTAGTATCTCAAGTAAGGTGTGTCTGGTAGCAAACCAAAGTAGCTCACCTGCCAAAAGTTGGATGCAGAGCACCCCCTCTCCCATTTAAGGAAAGCACTAATGTTGCTGAGAAAGTCCAATTTTCTCTGCCTCTCCTTTGTTTGCTGTAAATAATGAGTGATTATGCAGACATGAAAGTCAATGATGGCACAAGGTTCATTACCCTACTTTGCAGAGGGTGGCGAGGTCTGTTAACAGCAGGCTGCTGCAAGAGAGTTATTAAGGATGTGAAATCTCACTGGAATGTGTGCTTTCTATTTGAACAGATGACACCGTCCATGAGTCAGCCGAGCCATCCCGCGGCGAGAACGCTGCACAAACACCAAGGCTACCCAGCCGCCTTTTGGCAGTCCTACTGTTCCTCCTGGCGATGCTTTTGACATTATAGCACATTCTCCTCCCGTCACCTGTCACCGAAAACATCAGGGTCTTGGAACACCAGAGATCCACCTAACTGCTCATCCTAAGAAGGGACTTGTTATTGGTTTTTTGGCAAATGTCACATTTTTGTTTTCTTTCTTTCAGCCTGAATTCTAAGCGACAACTGGGTGTGGGGGGCGGAAGTAGTTGCTGCCTCCCTCACCCCATCCCACCCCAGGCCCTTGCCCTTGACTTCTTGCACCCCTTCCAAATTAAATGGACTCCAGATGAAAATGCCAAATTGTCCCAGTGACACCATGGTCGTCAGCCCTGTGCATTCTCCAAGAGCTCACCTCTGTTAGTGCACTGTGTCCGCAGTATGCGGGCAGGAAGAATAGTGGCAGATGCAGCCGGTGACGGCGAGGCCCCGGAGGGTTTCGCTCTCCATACAATATTTATGCCTGTTCATTCAAGACTGTAAGATGATCGCGCAGGGCATCATGTCACCATGTCAAGTCCAGAGGGGAGGTATTAAGAATAGCTATAATATTACACCATTTCCTCTAGGAGTGTATAAGTGAACAGGCTTCTAAAAGGTTGAGACTTTTTTTTTTTTTTTTAATCTGACTGTCTTAAAGCATTCTTGACAGTAAAACTTGTACTCTGGAAAAGAAGCCTTTTTTTTTAGGAGGCGGGTTGGGTGTTGGAATGCTAGCACAGAGCAAGCGTGAAAACAGAAAACTGGGTTTGGTGGGGGTGTGTATGCGTGAGTGCCTCTAATTTTTTTGGTGACTGGGCAATGCACACCAGGTTTGTTTTTTGATTTTTTTTTTCTTTGAATATAGATCACCATGGTGCTACAACTTTTTTTTTTTTTTTTAAGCTCAAAGAGGCATTTTTATGAATAAAGTGACCTTCCCCAAGGCTGACAAGCCAGGGTTGATGAGTGCATAATGGAATAGCTTTGGATACTTCTCTGGGGACAGTATGTATCAAGAAAAGGATGTCAGGCCAGAGGAGATGAAATTTGGCTTTGCTGGAGCACCAGTGTGCTGTGGCCTTTCCCCGACTCCCACTCCAGAACCCACGTTTTTCTCCACACTCCGCGCCTCTGGGGGCTCAGACACAAACCCCGTCGACCAGGAGAGTCAGTCAACACTATTTGGGAGGGCTTAAGGGAAATTTGGAATAAAAATTCCAAAGTTTGGAATAAAATATTCAAGTGTTGATTTTATATTCTTTCCCTTTCTGACACAGCCTGAAGCGTAGGGGGGAACATGTGTTTATCTGTGGGAGATAAACAAGATGGAGTCCCAAAGACTTTAACAAAATATTTTTTTAAAAATCCACTAGAATAGAAAATACATTATTTAGATATACTTTATGCTGAGAGTGAGTATATATGCTTGTCCTATTTAAACTTGTGAGAAAAAGTGGTATCCCTTGATACATTTAGAAGTATGGGGGCTATCTTGTTTCATTGTGGGGGTGGGGTGGAAGGAGACAAAGGGTGAGCCTGTTTCAGGAAAAGGCATGGCCCACCAGGAATGCTTCCAGTCTGATGAGGAAATGCACGCTTGGGGTTTCCTACTACTCATGAGGCTGTCAGGAACTTGGAACACCAAAGCCTAGACAGGGCAATGCGCCAGACCAATGGAAAAGACGCCTAGTTTTGTTTTTTTGTGTTTTTTTGTTTTTTTTTTTTTTTTGCTATTGCACAGTAGACAACACAAAACTACACCTTTCGAAACCAAACCAAAAATAAAATGTGATGCTCTAAGATGTGAAAATTTGGAAGCATTCCAGCAAAATGAGGATTTTTATATTTTTTAAACATGTCTGTAAAAAAAAAAAAAAGATGAGTCACACTATGGACAGACTTTATGAATGGGAATTTGCTAAGAGGTATGAATAGTTCAGAATTGGAAAAATATGAGACTGAAAGGTAGCTGTAAAGATTCTGCACCCTGGAGAGTTGTACACACGTTGAAATGTAATCTGGGTTTACCTGATACATTTGCAGTGGAAGTTACTGCTGGGTCTGTTCTTACTTGGAACCATGTGAGTGGGGTTGCCAGCCTCAAAGATACAATCAATCCTATTCCCCCACATCAGGAACTTCTCTGGAGTGGAGAGTGTTATCGGTACTCTCAGTGATATCCAGTAATACTTCTTTTTATTAATAGTTATGGACTTGTTGATCCAGTGGGATTTGGGTAGAGGCAGGGATACTTTCTAAAATGGATCAATAGTCAGAACCAAAATAATACTGCATGTTCTATAACCACAAGGAAATCAAATGATCCTGTACTGATTCCAGTTAGTCATAACTATGTTAGCAGTGCTAATTTCATTTTAGAAATGGTGACTTCTGTGGTTTTTCTAGCACTTGTCTCTAACAAATGATGAAATAATTACTCATGGCCCTCTCTGCCAATGTCTTTCATTTTTCACAGTGAAATTAGACCCCTTGACTTCACCGTTGTGCCACTACAAATTAAGTAAAAAGAAAAAAATTAGCAAGAACTCACCCCACCAGTAGACAGTGTGCTTCTCCACCTGTGACATACTTGTAGGTAACACTTGCCACGGAATTTTCTAAAGAAGATGATTGGTATCAGATAGTTTTCATCTTGTCCAAAAGTGCTGGTGGCCTTTTTTGTTACAACCCTGGGGGGGCTTAGGAGGATGTTGATGCAACTTTGTAGCAGCTTTTACTTTTCAAAAAACAATCAAAAGTCTGAAGGGCAGCCACAGCTGACTCTCAGCCCCAGTTAGTCAAACCCCAGCGACCTTTGCCCCTGGTTGCCAAGGGCTTTGCAACATGAAGCAGGGAAATAGGGATCTGTCTGTTTAGTGGATACCGTGTATCCTTTAATAGACCAGGTAACAGTTCGTGTTAGCTTAGACTATTGTTTTGTACTGTACTTTCTTGGGTGGCAGAGGAAAGAAAAGTAAAACATTAAAAAAAAAAACTGCGTTCTTTAAATTCTGTATTATTAGCGACCTCTGTTGTATATAGTGTTTGATAATAAAGTATTAATTTGATTCTTATGTCTTTTGTAAGTGAGAACAATAGTCTTTCAGGTACAAAACATGCATTGAGGCTTTGAAACATCCAATGTATACGTGACTGAGAAATGTCACGAACGGCCGAGACTCTGCTCCATACAGGACTCGCACGTGGTCATCGCCTTCCCAACCTTGACTCCATCATCTCGGGACCTGGGACAACATGGCTTTTTTAGATCAATATTTTGCCCTTACTGTTTTAAGGTCTGATGTTGGAGCCCTGTGGTGCCCCTCCCACCCTCCACCCACAGCAAGTTGGTTTGCAAAAGGTTTAGGGAATTTAGTAACGGTTCTGTACTTTGGTTTTTTATTTGTGGTGGTTTTCACGGACTGTTTCATTTCTCCCCAGGAAGAGACTTGCCAGTACCACATGCAGCCCACGTAGGGGAAAGGTTGCAAACCAGTCTGTCTAGGAAGGTGAAATGCAGGCTATTTCTCATTGTGTGACATTGTAAAAGGAAGAATCACCCAGTACCTGCGCATTTGCAGGGACTGTTCTCTGGTACCTTAGCAACTGCAGCGGCCGCTGCCACTTTTGTTAGTTTGCCCACTGTTAGGAAAACAGTGGAAACACCTCCCCTCCATTCATTGCTCCCAGAACTGTGGTCACTAATTTTCCTTTTGAAAACCACCTCCACCAACACCCCTGTTTGCCTACACCCCCTTTTATTTCTTATATATATATATATATTTTTTTGTCTCTCGCCTTCCTCCCGCATTTTTTTTCCTCTCAGAACCATGAATGGGCAGGTCTGTCTCTGGTTTGGCATCACTGAGTTTTTCCCATGCATTTGCCCCAGAGCTGCTCGGATGTGAGACAAATCTCCCCACAATGGGCTTGCTCCCATTGTCTGTACAGTTTAATAGATGCTGGCATGTTGGAGGTTACCCATGAGTCAAAATCCGCTTTCCATGCTTACCCTTGACACCCCATTGAAGCCACTCATTGTGTGTGCGTCTGGGTGTGAAGTCCAGTTCCGTGTGGTCCTGTGCTTGTACTGCTCTGCTTTGCAGTTCCTTTGCACTTACTCATCGAGTGCTGTTTTGAAATGCTGACATTATATAAACGTAAAAGAAAATGTAAAAAAAAAAAAAAAACCCACACACAAAACCAACCCATACAATCTGTATTTGTATATACACGTGTCCATACAAGTATACCTAAATAAAAATTAAAGATTTTCATCATTTTAATTGGAGCCCTCCTTCTACTTCTTTGTTCCTTGAATGACACCTTTATTTCAGGGGCTACTTGTACTCTGCTGATTTCTCAAATCTTTGTGGACAGGAAAGATAATACAACATGTATTAGAAAAGGCTTGAGAAGCTCAAAGAATGCAGAGTTAGAAAGTTTGTAGTTTGTAACATTCCAGTTATTCTGATGAAAAAAAGTGAGATTTCATCTCAGCCTTAAAATAGGCACTATATGCCCAGCATCCTAAAATGACTGAAATGCAAACATCAAATGCAAATTATTCTTTTACTTTGTATATATATTTTCACCACATTAAGACAAAACAAGTTCCCCCCCCCCCAGCAAATACACTTCAGAAAGAATTAATGACAGGAATGATAATAGTCACATCCATACAACCCAATACCTCAATTCTCCCTGTCAAGGAAGAATGAATGTATCACTGTGTGACCTTGGGCAAGTCACACAAAATCTTTGGTAGTTTCCTTATCAGTAAATAACAGGGTTGTATAAATGATTCGATTGTCCAAATAGTCCCTTGCTGGGCACTGTAAAGCTCACTTTGCACTTGAATGATGTACATGAATTTTTGTCTTTGATGATATTGCTATGAGCAGAATTTAAGATTTCATCTGCAGAGGGAAAAATCAAATCTCGGACATAACAGACACTTAATGCATTTCAAGACTTGGCTTTAATTATACCATATTCACATTAAACTCATTGAAAGCTTTTATTATACTCAATTATTTGACAGGGCACTAAACACTAATTACAACTTAATGTAACCTTTTTTGATAATGAAGAGTGACAGCTTTATAGAATAAGGAACAACTCATATATATTTTTTTAAGGATATACTGGACTGCCTATGTGGGATTTTTCAAATCAGAACAGCATTACGTTGTCATTATCATCTTCACCATCATCATCAGAAACATTTGAGTGACCATGACATTGTGCTCAGTGCTGCGCAGAATTAAAGTTAATATTTACAATCTGTACGTTAAGGTTTATAATTAAAGGTAGACATTATGTGTAAGCATAATAAGTAACTCTAGAGAGAAGAAAATACAAAATTCAAGTGGTTGTCATGAACATAGGGAAGAATTCTAAAAATATGTGTGAGGAAAAATATTCAGAAGGTTAAGTTCAGGAAGCTTTAAATTAAGGAAATCACCTCTACAAAGAGCCAACATGGAGTTAGGAAATTCTTAAAAAGAAAACAGGTTTAAAAAGTCATTACTAGTGTTAAGAGAACAGTAAGGTACAAGGAGTAAATTTTCATAGTGGCTACAAAGGTGACTGGAAATGGAAAAGCCCCGACAACATCTGAGTGCCACTGAAGCAAATTATGAGGATCTCTGTCCAGAGAAATCACTATGCCCTAAGGAAGTAGGAGACGTGATGAAAAGATGACAACTTCAGATTTCACTTTAAAGAGTAATCAGATAGCTGCTCCTGAAGCTGAGACTGTATCTACACTGAACTGTGAGCTCTCCAGGCCCTCAGCCAGGTGAAGGCTACATAACAATCAGACACGGGAAAGGGATAAGCATAGCATGTGCAAATGGAATAAACATTTGAAAGTGCTGGAGTCCTGGTTCCCCAAAGGAAAGCAGGACAGGACTGCATTGACACTATGAGTAATGTTACATGAACACTTAGTTTGGTAACAAAGCATTTTAAATACTTCCGTCATCAAAGGGGTTATATAAAAATAAGCAGAGGGAATTTTGGTGAATACATCACATATATGCATTTGAATCTCTTACTCCTATAACAATAACATCTTTTATCTATTATAGGACTATATATCATCTGGAAGTCAAAAAATAGTTCAAGATAATTCTGATGAATTGCTCATTGACCATTCCAGTGGTTTCTAAGGAACTGTACCCTAAAAACTGTTTTCTAGAGACTGTTTGCAAAGCTCAGTTTCATATTCTGCTGGTAACATAAGCATCCTTCAGAAAAGCATTAGGATTTCTGCACAGTCCCTCTGGAAAGCACTGTTTCTGAAAATGATTACAAATAACTAATCAGGCCAATATTCTCCTTCAGTTTGTAGTTTGATGCATATCATTATTAGGTGAGTGGCTCAGTTGTCAAAATACAGAGTAAGCCTATTTTTAAAATGGAGTTGTAACGGCTAATGACCACTGCGAGCATTAAATTGGCGATAATTGTTTGTCCTTTTCATACAAATGATAAATGAATGCACAAGTTTAAAAATATATAGACAGGGAATTGTTTTGCCCGGGTAATTAGGCGTCAAGACTAGAGGTTCATCTGCACTGGTTAGCCAGTCTACCCTAAAGAAGTGAGGATGCCAACACGAAATGATGGGGGGCAAGGAGGGTGCGTGGGGGACCTGGGTATTTGGGGTAAAAGCACTACCTCACTGCCGTCAGTCAGAGTTAACACTGAAGAATTCGATCTAGTGGGTGGCTCTCGCAGTCAATAATGGTGCTTTGAAATATCCTGGATTTTACTCATGATTATTCAAGCAAGAACTTCATGTCACTTGGTAACACACGGATGCTTGTCAATCTTGACAAGAACACAAAGAAAGGGACCAAAAAGTCTCTTAAGATAGATTACAATGGGAAAAGAGAACAAAACATTTTTTCCCCATGCTGTTTTTTCCACGAGTGTCAGGTGCTCGTCCACACTGCACACACTATCTGAGATTCAGGTAGCCAAAGTCATTTTCTTTCCCTCACAGCCATGAAACAAGACACTGAAATAAGAGAAAGAATATGTTTCTTCCTAAACACATCCAAAAATGCATTTTATCAACATCCCAGTTGTGTTCAGTGCTTGTTCTTTCGGACCAAAAAACAAAAAGCAAAGCAAAAGAAACAAACAAACAAAAATGATTTGTGTAGCACAGTGTGGAACATCTAACGCCTCTGAAATTTGTACTTTGCTTTACCAGATCTGGACACATTTTCCACAGTAGACAGAACAAGATCTGTGTCTTTTTAAATTTTTTCCTGAAGACAGTGTGCCAGCCAGAAAGCTGACTCCATTTATTTCTCCTGCAGGGAGCCAGCGTGTTCCTTCTCCTGGAAGATGCAGGTACTTAAAATAGTAATAGGCTTTGTGGTTTATGGAGAGTTATTTCATCCCAAGATCTCACAGACACAAAGAATAAAACATAAACTAATGGCTCTCTCCAACAAGATTGGGAAGAATTAAATGCAAAGAGGGATTGTCATCATTCTTCCCTGGAAAAACACACAGGAAAGGAATTTAATTCAGGTAGCTCAAGGAAAAAACGAGTGTCAAGTTGATCCAGGATTTGCACAGAGGCCCCATTCTGTTCCTCTTCCTTCTTAAGAGTTTGATATAAGCTCCAGCTGAAGGAAACTCAATGACATGTTTATCCCTTCTTTAAGATATTTCTAACACAATATAATAGTGAAAGGGGTACTTGGAACCTGTCTGAGATTTTATCAGAAAAGTTGATTTACAGATGTACTGTCATTTATAATTTCTCAAGGTCTCTCCAGTCCTCTGAATATTCCGATTTAAAAATTAGCAAGAACCAAAGAGAAGAATGTACAGTGCCACTTATTTTGATAGTTCTCATCTACCCTACCTATACACACTCACCCTCTCTTACAACGTTTGTAATTTTCTGCATTTATAGCACTTTTCCTTGACATTCACTATGTTCAACCCTGCTATTTAGAAAAGACACAATGAGGGTCACTTTAAATATATTTAAACCTCAGTTTGATAACATCTAAATCCATAAAATAAGGACAAAATATGGTGTTAAAAGAAGTCATCGCCTCCCTGGTGGCGCAGCGGGTTAAACCACTGCACTGAGAAGCTAAAGCCACTTCCGCATGAGTTCGATTCCCGCCTGCCCTGGAGGTGACCACATGGCGTGGCAGACCTCTCCTGACCCACCCGCTGCTCCCCTCAGCAGTGTACTTCGTCGATCTGCCTGTTCTGCTCCCCACTCTGTGTCTGGTGAATCCTCTCACCCTCCACATCTCTGGCCTGTACCCCAGTTCTGTACAAATAAATAAATAAATATTTAAAAAAAACAAACAAACAAAAAAAGAAGTCATGCCGGGTATGGCAGCCCAGCAGAGTAGTGTCCACAGATCTGACTGCAGTGTAGAACACCCCCAGAAGTCCCACCAGTAGACACAAAACTATCTACCCGGGCAGGGAGCATCAGGTAGAATTTGGATCCTTGGTGATTAGGTTTCAATTCAGCTGAATTCCACCCCCGTCTCGCCGCCCCACCCCCCCCATACACACACACACACACACACACACACACAGCTTCCCAACGGTCCAGCAACGTTCTCAGAACCAACAATACACCCAGACTTTCTTGATTGGTCTGTCTAAGTATGAAAGTATGGGCCCTGGAGAGGCCTTAATCTGTACCTCAAAGGCTGACTGGGCCTGCAAAACCCACAGAGCTGGCAAAGACTGCTGTTAGTTTGGAACTTCTTAAATCTCCTTTGCAGGTTTACTTAGCCTGGATTGGATAATGCTGCAGATCACAAACCTTCAGTTTACTCCTAGTTCAGATTTTAAGGTTACCACAAATTAGACTGCATTCTTTCTCTGTGGATCCCTCCTTTCCCCTGGCCTGTCAGTATTCAACAAAGCAAGTTAATCTCCCTCGTAAGTGACAGCTCTGCCTCTTGTAACTGGCATGGAATCAATTTTTTAACTTGATTTGAGAAGTGAACAGAGTATCAAGAATTCAGGACTAGTGAGTAGATTCATTAGCAAGCTGAATCAGTTTTCGCTGGAATCTGTTTGGCTGTCCTCGTCTCTTAGTTCTGCTTTTTTTTCTTTCTTTATCATCGATCCTGTTCAAGACTTAATATCTACTCTGTCTACTAAGGATGCCAGGTTCC